GTTATATTTTAGATAGCGAGGAGCAGACTGCAGCATTTCACTCCACCGAGGGAGTTCGCGACGTACTACCCGGCTTTCTTTAGACCGCGAAGGCCGGGTCCTCAGGTGGAAGCAGCCTCTGAATTTGGAAACCCCCGCTGTTTCCAGGCCGGCCAATAATAACGGTGACATTTAATGTATTTTATCTGATAAATAAACCCTGTAAAATTTATTTATCACCCCCCCACCCTAACAGCCCTTTTGAATATCTCCCTAATTCTGAGGTCTCAAGGTTGGCAAGTATGGCCACAACGCCTCACTCTTGGAGCACTATTTTGCCACATGTATCGCAAACCACGTCTTAGCTGTTTGTGGAGGTAAAATACGTCCTCCGATGACGTGCAGCCATTGTTGTGAGTGCACACGCCAGCGGCTGCGAGACATTTATACAGCCGTATTTCGCACATAATTATGAAAGGCGGAAGAGGAAGTAGTTCCTTTGAATGTAGACAATCCGAATGTTATAGTTTCTTTCCACCGTGTTCCTGTTAATGATAAACTATAAATTTACCCTAAATTACTAAAATATCGATATTTTAATGTGAGAATCGATTCTAGAACATAAATGATTGGTATCGGAGGAATCGATATTTCAGTATCGATCCGCACATCACTAGTGCAAGGAGGATACGGGTGGAGATGTGAAGGGGGTAGACGAAGGTCAAGGTCAAATTTATTTATATAGCACATTTCCAGACAGACGATGCTGCACAAAGTGCTTAACAATATAAAAACGCCATTAAAAAGCGACAATATAAAACAATGATGGGACAATAAAAGAATTAAAACAAAAACTAAGACAATTAAAATATGACCAAAATGCTTGGGTCACAGTGTGTTAAAAGCCAGGGCATAAAAATGTATCTTTAGTAGTGATTTAAATTGATTAAGTGTTTGTGCAGATCTAATCTTTAGGGGGAGACTTCCAAAGTCTGGGACCTGCCACAGAGAAGGCTCTATCACCACAAGATTTGAGACTAGTCCGAGGGATGGAAAGCATTAATTTTGAGCTAGACCTCATGGTTTTTCCTGGAGCTCACACAGGTAAGAAGGGGCTCGGCTGTTAAGTGACTTAAAAACAAAAAAGTAAAAGTTTAAATTGGAACCTGCAGGAGACAGGAAGCCAGTGTAGAGAAGCTAAACCAAAATACAATGAATTGCAGTAGTCCAACCTGCAAGTAAGGAAGAGGTGAATAACACGTTCAAAGACATTAGTCGGGAGGTATGGCTTTACCTTGGCTAGCTGTCTTAACTGAAAGAAGCAGGACTGCACTTACCTGCACCAAGACACCAAGGTTTTTTACATGTGTTTTACAATAGGAGGTAAAGGGGCCCAGAGTGCTATCGATGTGATTATTGACTAAGTTGCCGAAAATGACAACTTCAGTTTTATTTTCGTTTAGCTCAAATTCTTTATTCTTGTCCTCTAGTTTTGTCTTGTCTTCCTGCAATTCTTTATTTTTGTCCTCTAGTTTTGTCTTGTCTTCCTGCAATTCTTTATTTTTGTCCTCTAATTTTGTCTTCTCTTGCTCAATTTCTCTGATTTTGTCCTCCAACAGTGGCTGCAGCTTTGGACTTCTTCCAAATGTATCTGCCTTAGAAAATCCTGGTACTCATTTTCTGCTTCAATTCTTGTGTATGCCTCCAGCTTTTCCTTCAAGTCATACATGTCTAGCTGATTCCCGTCTTCTAGTATTTTGTTTTCTTGTTCCAGCTTTTCATATCTTTTCTCCATTTGCATGTATTTGGACTCCATTTCTTCTCTAAGAGCTACAAGCCCATCCTTATGGCATAAATTCCTCCTCTCTGCCAGAAGACCATTTAGGCAACTTTTCAGTTGGTACTCGCTCTCTCGTAGATGAAGGTTTTCCCTCCTGCAGTTCTCAAAAGCTCTTCTGAGACCATTGTATTCACCGGGGGACCGTACTGCCCACCGCAGTGAGGAGGAGGTCCTCTGAATCTCAGTTGATAGTTGTTTTGAGACATAGCAAAACAAACCAACGCAGTTCTTTTTTTGTTCAAAACGAATAGAAAATCTTTTTAGAGACAAATTCAAAACTTGTTTAAATGCTGTTAGAATTGTGGCGATGTGAATATCTAACCGGCGAAAACACACTAAAAACGATACCAAACACTGTGGTTACTTCACAGACTGCACTTCATCGTAACATTAAAACTTTCTATATGCAAATTAGGCTGAGACGGCGCTTGTCTATCACGTGACATCAAATCTGACTTAAAACAAAATATTTTTTTATGAGTGTATTTATTTTGCCATTTTCAATAAAGTTTTAATGTCTCATTCTTCATCATATTTAGGATCCTTCTTACCGAGTGTTTACATAAGGTGTCCAAGGCCAATATTTCAGAGAAAATGTGAATACTGTTTATATTATAATAGTGGTGCTTTGCTATTACTACCAGATAGTAATAGCAAATAGCAAATATCCAGATAGCAAATATCCATTGAAACAATGTTTAGTCAATATCAGTTGATTCTATTGAATCAACGTTGAAATCTGATATTGACGTAACGTCACTCTTATACGTCAGAATTTGATATTGAATCAATGTTGAACGCTGTTGAACCTAGGATCTTTGTAAGTCAGTCTGGTCTCTGAGTTTCCCTTTCTGTCTTTATCAAGTCTGCATTTCTGTTCCTGAATTCTGCTATATCTTAATAGTGTTTTATTCTGTGGGCATTATGTTCAGTTTTGCTTAACTTGGTTCTCCACGTGTCACTTATTTGCCCTTACCTTATGTGCATGTTTAAGCCCTCAGTTTGCTTCTTTTCTTTGTTGCATCATCCGTCATATTAGTGTTCTGAGTGTATTTCCTGGTTTTTGTTTGCTTAAGACTAAACTGCAGCACTTTTAATCTAGTTCCTCTTACTGTATGGTCTGTAAAGTAGGCACTAAAGCTGATCTGCCAGTGTCTTACTAAGAGGATGGTTCTTTGGATAAAAGGGGGAGCAAGCAAGTCAATAATCAAGACACAGGGATGATGTAGGTCTAATCAGAAACTTTTTATTCCCAGGCCAGGGAGCACAAATAAAATAAAACTCTCAAAAAACATACTTAATAGAATGTCTTCAATATACTAATATCCCCCAGGAATAAACCCAATTCTAAAACTGCTAGAAATAAAATTTTCTGCGTGCACTAAAATCCTCTGATGTAACTACCCCACGAACACAGATAAATGTTCATTTTTGGTCCACCAGCCGGCCAGAAACTCCTTCTCCAGAGCGGGGTCCATGCCAGCCTCGTCCCAGACAGACGAGGAGGAGCCTCCTGCCCCCTCTCGTCCCTTCACTGGGCCCATCACATCCCAGCCCAGCTCGCATTCTACACCGGAGTCCACCGTGGGATGCCACCACGGTACCCCTCGCGTCAGCACAGATAAGAGCCAGAAAAATCATCCTGGAAGCGGCCCTGGCTTATAGTAATGGTGACCCTCTATCAACACAGCTGCATCCAGTGAACAACAGTAGAGACAATACTCACGAATGCAAAAAACAAAAACAGCTCAATGCTTCTCTGAATAAATTTGCAGCTATGCAGGAATTATTTTGTTTACAAAACAGTTAAAAGGGTTAAGGTTAAAAGTTACTACATAACAAGTAAATGAAGGAAGATAACAGAGCAGCAAATACAAATACTCCAGTAATAAAAGATACAGAAAGAAGAGATACAACTCTTTAACATTAAAGTTTTAACATTAAAACATTTCAGCTAATGTGCTGTATGTAACTTCCGTGGCTTTTCTGTCACTGTGTTGGAGAACAGAAGCAAATGATAATTAGAGAGAAAAAGCAAAATATGACCAAATTCAAAGTGAAACATGTCATATCAGGACAACAAGTAAAATGATTTGATATCAAGAAAAACACGGGGAGTGAGATACAGTGTGTGTTTGGTTTCAGGTTATTTAATATTTACCCTTTCAGTACACTTCCGTACAACAACTGAACTGTAAATTATTTCCACATCACTTTCACCAAATGAACTCTGGAAGAGAAGAAATATAGAAATTGGACTATTTACAGTTCTGCTGTGCTTTAACAAAAAATAGATTAAACTCTACTTGTATTCTAAAGTGTAAATGTGTAGTTGTAGTATGTTAGGACATCCTCAGGTGATATTTCTTCTGCATTTACACATCTGGTGTGTCAGGTATCAGTGTTATTGACAAAATACCAATATTTAAATGAAAGAGAAGGGGTAGAGGTTTGAATCTTCAGAAGCAAAATACAGCTTTGTGATTCATGATCTAATTTCTTCTGATAGCTGTTGTTGTATTTTGCAAGTTATAAAAAATACAAGAACAGTTTCCCCTATGAGGATTCATTTTTCTCAGACATATCAGAAATGAATCTACAGTAGATTACATATCCAATGTACTCTCAGATGACCGGTATGTTCACTGAAAATTCTTAGATTTGAATTGCTTGATGCTGCTGTAGTTGGTTACCTTGGGTGAACGTTTTTTCTTGGGTCTGACTTCAGAGTATGTTAGTTCATCTCCAGCCTGCATTGAAGTACAAAACACAGTTTGAACATCTGTCAAACTGTAATTATGAACCCGTTTTACTTTCTCTATTTTTTTAGTATCATGTACGATGCCCACATAGAAATAAATCAGTACAACTTACCATTGCTGTGGCGGATGATTCTGCTTTGTTCTGCTCTAATAAAACAAAATGACTGTTACTGATTCTTTGTAGCAATGCACAATAACTTAAATGTTGAACTATTTCTAAAGATTTGCAAATAAATTTGAAATGGATTTTAATCAAATTTCTAGTAGACTTACTGTGTCTCATTATAAACCAGATGAACAGCATCACAATTACAATCAAGCTCAACACACTCAGAGGGATGATGAGGATCTTTGGGTCAAATGAAGATCTACAACATGCAGTTTATAAACAGAATTTAAATGAATAAGTAATAA